CAACATTCTATCGAAAGCTCAACACGGGTTTAGGCAAAAGCGATCCTGCTCCACCAACCTACTTCTTGTTCGAGATGAATGGACCCGTACAGTCAACGAAAGGGGATACGGTGGATGCGATTTATCTCGACTTCGCGAAAGTATTTGATCGGGTGAATCATCAAAACTTATTACAGAAGCTCTACAATCGCGACATTCGAGATTTCGTGGTTGATTGGACTAAAGTATTTCTCGATTAAGGGACCATATCAGTTCGTGTTTGTGAATCCTTATCCGGATCTATCAAAGCCACCCACGGTGTTCCACGAGGGTCCACACTTGGTCTCCGTCTGTTCCTTGTATTCATAAGTGATCTACCGAAATTGTTAGGTCCAAAAACAATACTATTCCCAAATGACGCCAAAATCTGGAATACAGTAACATAACCCGATGGCTCTCTAACACTTCAGGAATCACTCAACGTAGCTTTTAAATGATCTACAGAGAACGACATTGAATTCAATGTTTCTGAATGCAAAGTCCTATCCCTACACCACTCGAGTTACTTCCTGTATTTCCTCAGAAATCACCAGTTTCAACATGCCTAAAGTGAGAATGACCGAGGCATAACTTTTTAAGATGGCCTAAGCTGTTCGATCAGTTGCCCCTAAGGTTTCATCTGCTGCTGTGAGGAATCTCGGTTTGCTTAGGCGAATCTTAGTTTGGTTTGAATCATCACTGTTCCCACGTTTGCTATCAGTGCACATTCAACCGTACACAGAGTACACGAACCAAGCTTGGAATCCATGGTTGCAACGTGATTGTAAGATGCTTGGGCGTCCACAAAGGATGGTCACATTGGTGGTCAAGGATTGAACGGCCTCAACTTTGAGGACAGATTACGGTTATTGGTACTTTATTCTGCTCAATACAGTCGAATTCGGAGAGAGTTGATTTTGACGTATCAAGTATTGCAGAACCCAAACCATCCGTGTCAGCTACTGCTCATTTTGTCGCCCAACAAACACGTTAAGGGACTTCGTTTCAAGTAACTTATTTCAAGGTGTCGGCCCGACTGCCAGCATCATTCAGTCATAGGGTGCAGTCCATGGAACATCCTTTTATCTTACGCCGTTTGTGGACCAACTGTTGAATCTTTCAAGCGGAAAGTCGATGAAATCCTGGCACTACTCACATTCCTAGACAACTAAAAAATAAATTGGTTGAAGACACAATATTTATCATTTCCCAACCGAACTTTCATGTGATATTTCATTATTATTTTGTCAAGATACTGTTCAACTGTGAAAATATCCTGTGAGAACAAGAGAAACAAGCTTTTAATCAATTCCCATAATAGAACTTTAACTTTCAAAGGTTGTTTGTACAGCATTTAGGCGAGAACATTACTTTTATTCTACTGGTAAAAAGGGAGAAATAGCGAGATTTTCCGTTAGAAATTTCAGAACGAACATTCTCTTTGTCAGTCAGTATCCGGGCAAGATAGGAAGGTGGCAAGGAGTTTCTGTCGACAAACATGCGAGATAGGATCGGTCTGTATTTTGGAACAATGAGATGAATAGAATTCACATAAACACAGGTAGGCGCATGTGTAAAGGATGGGGTCTAACGGATATTACTTTTGTCTAAAAACTTCCAGTAATTGTTAATATGACCGTCGCAGAATTTACTTATCAGAACAAGCAACGGATTTCGGGAAACACGATTTGCTCACTGTACGGGCCACGTCAACAGCAACCGCTTGAAGTCACCCTTCAGCAAATCAGGGAAAATCAGAGGGGGATAGATCAGGTGTAGCTGAATAATACTTTGTTAAGCAAAAGTCCTAATCATCAAATGATCAGTGCCAAAATGTTCGTATCAAAAAAGCAGAGGCCTTTCAAGTTGCGAGCAACAGCTTGGGTATTTAAAGACTAGTGAAAGTTACATTATAGAATGAGACCTAAGTACTTCAGAGGTTTGACCTTGCTCCGAAATGACTAAGTTACTTCAGACAGAATTAACAAAATACCACTTTGCACTTCAGCTGCCCAGCCGCAGACAATAATCCTGTAGTGGACAGAGAATTACGAATGGCTGTTCACGAAAGAAAAGCATTCCATTGACTCTCAAATGAAAAGTTTGGATAACCTCTTTCTGGGGTTTAAAAATATTGATCCAGATGTTGGTCTAGCAGTTCAGCTTGCTGTTATTGGCGTACTTTGGGACCTGTGGTACAAGATTTGAACCACGCCACAGCTACTCAACTTTGGTTGTAGGCAGCTCTGCTAACACCCGACTGAATACCACGTGAGCGCTAGCAGCACCCTAGGGGATCCACTATTCCAAGTCCCCGGGGTTAAAATTACCAGATTTCCATGAATGAGGCAGGGGTGTCCGTGACTATAGGGCTTACCTTTTTGCTATTCATTACACAATACTATGTAATAAAAAAAGGGGTTTACTGTTTTCTTTCCCAGCAAAGCAATGCCATCGATCACGTGAGAAGGGTGCGGGTCTCCCAAACAAACCTAAAGGTTATTGATTGAATTAACTGCTCACATAACCAATTGGGACATTTCTACCAAAGTGCTGAAGGTTC